TTCTCCTGCCAAGCTGGTTCTCCGGGAGCCAATCAACCCATCAGACCACAAGGTTCCCTGAGTCCCTGCCACATGCTCAGGCCTGGGAAGCCCCAGCCTTTGTCCTCAAGAAATCCTATTTGTTGAGGAGACTCAGCCAGCGACTGTGAAGCAGTTGGGGAGCAGTAGGGGCTGCGTTACCCAGAAGTTACTGGGGAGATACAGGGAGGGCACGAAGCAGCGGGGGGCGGGGTGGGGGCATCATGGAAGGGAAGGGCTGGGCTCCTGCAGCTTGCTGTGTGGACATGCATCTCAGTGGCTGGAGGTGGGAGACAAAGGCCACAGCGGCCAGGGCGGGGCCGGAATCCTGCCACACTCTGCCTACCTGTTTGTCTGCAGAGGTGGACAGTCCCCTGCAGGAACAGCGTCCCACCTGAAGGGCACCCCTCTGTTTTGCTTTCTGCAAACATGAAAAACTGCTCGGCTCTGTGCAGCGCTGGCACAAAGCTGTAACCCCCAAGTGCTGGGAGGATAATGCCCCCAGAGGGAGGTCTTAGTCAGGGGGTATGACAGTGGAGGGGAAGACTTTCCAGGCTCCCTGTCCTCCTGCGTGACAATTCTGAAGTGTGTGATGCCAGCTCCTCAGGGCCCAGGAGGACACGCCCTGGGTTACTGAGAGCCGTGCCCAGCTGACAGGGGACCAGTCCTGGCTTTTCTCCCTTCACCGTCCTTCTTTTCTGACTCTGTCATTTGCATTTCCTGGGATCATCTCCCAAGTAAACCACTTGCTCTCCTGTCCCTGGCTCAGGGTCTGTTTGGGGGACTTACTAAAGCAAGGACTTTAAATCTGCTCTGCTTCCAGAGGCAGGGGCTCTCCTTTCCCTGAAGGCTCTCTCCTGGGGCTCCTGCTGCTCATGCCTCCAGCCTCCAGCCCTCCTGCAGAGCAGCAGTGACTGCTCCAAACAGCTGGTGATGCCAGCAGCCACCACTGATAGGGGGTTAAGAGCCAGGCATGGGGTGCTGAGAAGCGTTTCCTGAACCCCACCTGTGTTAAGATTCACGGCCACACTGGCCCATTCCGTAAAGGAGAACTCTGAGGGCTTTTCTCCCCTAGATCTGAGGGCTTTTCTCCCCTAGATCAACTGGCTGAGCAAAGGCAGAATTCCAGGTCTGTAAAACCAACGGTCTGTGTTCCCAGCCACTGAACTGAAGGCCAGCTTTCCTGTGTGGGGACTGGGCAGCAGGCATAAAGGGCAAAGATGCCACCCTAGACGTTATTGGCACAGTGTCTCTTCCCAAACTCCCCTGGCCTTGTCTGCTAAGGCCACAGTTGGGAGGTGGCCCATGGGATCTTCCCTCAATTATTTGATGCCTGGAAAGCAGGGAAAACTCCTGAGTAATTAACCTTGGGGCCAGAGGTAGGAAAGGACAGTACAGGAGAGCCTCCCACCAAACTCCCAACTGGAAAAGACGTTGATGTTAGAAATATCAGAGTTTCCACTTAGGGCTTCTTTTCTTGGTGTTACAGAACACAACCTGTCATGATGGGCTTTACCAAAATGACCCAGTCCTTCCCCACTGGGGCAAGTGGAAGGATATCAGGATGTCAGGAGCGACAGAGGAAAGGAGGCAGCCAGCATGGAGCAAGGCAGGCCGGGGAGGGGCGCGTGACCCCCACCCCAGAGCCATCACTTGCCTTCCCACTGCTGCCTCTAGTCTGGACTGACTCCTGCTCATGTCACCACGAGTAGCACCCGGGTTCCCTGACACGGTGTAGTACCTGGGTTCCAGGCTTCAGGGACGTCACAAGGTCTTTGACCATTTTGGCTTCTGAGACGGTGACTCCGCCCACCACAAAGAGGATCAGGAAGGGATGGTCACTGGGATGGGGCCGGCTCACCTGCAAAACAGAACAGCAGCAGTGTGAGATGCTGGTGGCATCAGTGGGGCTGGGTGCGTCCTCACTGTGCCCCCCATGAGGCAGGTGAGATAACCCGCAGAGAGATGATGACGCATAGCTGTCAGACATGCTAATGGCTTCTGAACACACCAACCGGGAAAATGCACAGCATGTCACCTAGTTATAGCCCTTTAATACAGATCTTATTGAAAGAGAAGCTAAAGGAGAGGGAGCTACTTAAAAAGAAGAGCAGGCTGAGGGACAACTAGTCCTCAGGCATAAACATCCCCCGTGGTTGTCAGTTTATTTCTACATTCACGGCCTGTGGTTGTCACCTCTGTCTGTCTGCCTGTTTGCTTGGGGGCTGCCCACTTCACTGCCAAATTCCCAGCTTACTTACCTAGTGCAATTTCTGGTGTATAAGAGGTGCTCAATAAATGTCTGTGTCAGTACTGACTAGTTAGAGCTCTTGGGAGGTGATGGCAGAGAGGTGTACAAGGCTGAAAGGGAGCAGGGCCCTCCTGAAGTCACTCACAGTCTACAGGCTTAGAGTCCTTAACGTCTTCAGATCAGCCTGGACAGAAGACCTTTCACAGGGTGGGCTCTGCACTAGGAGTGGTGGGGAATTCCTCCCAATTCCTTAGGATTTCACCAGTGAGGCAAAGTATTATCATACATTAAATGAAGAATGACTCACAGTAATTAATGTCATGGAAATGCAAAATGACCAGTAACTAAACTTAGTGATGGGGACACAGGGGCATGAGAGGAGGTTCCTGAAGAACCATATCTGGAAGCCAGAGTTGGTCTGATGAGGAGTGGGCAGGAAAAATGGGGTGAGGCGAGTTCAGGAGACAAGCAGTCACCAGCTGGGTGGAGAGCCCGTCCAGGACACAGTGGTCTCTGTAGGAAGGAGGCCACGCCCAGCAATCAGAGGGGGACAGAGGTGGTGAGTGTGCCCCCCGTACTCACTCATGGGGACAAGCCATCGCTGGCCACCCACAGGTCTGAGAAGCAGGGGCCGGGGCAGCAGGCCAGGAGGAAGTCCTTTTCTGCCCTGGCCCTAGATCCTCTCTCAGCGGGGTTATCCTGGCGCTCTTGCTGAACAATCCCACTTCTCAACATTAGATTTTAAACACAATGGAAAGGACAACACATGAAGCATTCCAAATTATTTAAGCTATTCTTTGGCTTCTGAGGAGGATCTCACAGTGGTAAGGCAGGTAGGCAGGAAGAGGGGAAGGAGAAAAGCAAGGAAGGAGAGAGAAGAGAGGGTGGGGTGAGATCTGAGGGTCTTCAGATAGGTGGCGGTAGATGCCGTAAGAAGTTCCAGAATAGACTATTTTCTAAAAATATCAGGTTAATACGAGGCCATAAATGATTAGCTTGCGATGTCTGCATTGTTGGGTAAGGTCTTGTTGCAGTTGTGCTCCTGACTCAGGAGGTGAGCCACGTACCCTTACATTGCCCATTAGGTGGGAGCTCACCAACCCCCTCCCTCAACTCCCTCCTCCTCTCCCCTCCCCACAACCTGAATTGAACTGAGCGTTCCTCTTGTGTGGGTGTGTAATATGTCAACTGGCTTCATACTAGTACTGAGGACATTGGATTCTTGCTTCTCCATTCTTGTGATACTTTACTAAGAAGAATATGTTTCAACTCCATCCAGGGCATTGCTCCCTCCTTGACACCCACTGCACCTTACTTCCTCTCTAGCCTACTGCTGTGGCCTTCTAATCCGTTCCCCCTCCTAGTATGGCCACTGCCCACCCATTCTCCCCATCCATTCTCTCATTCCATGTAGTATGATTCCTAGCATACAGCATCTATTATTGTACATACTGAGCACCACACTAACTATTTTTGTGCATTGTCTTATTGAATTCTCAAAACCTCCTTAGGAAGAAAATACAATTATTAGCCTATTTAGCAGTTGAAGAGTTTGAAGCTTATAAGCAGTAACCAATCATGGGGCCAGGCCCAAACTCCAGAGGCCACACTCTTAAATAGCCCCCAGGTCAACTGCATACTTGGGTTATCTGTGCAGAGTCTCAGAGCTCTTGAGGATAAAGTTCAGACCGTTAGCTAAGTGCGTTAGGCTCTTAGAACACGGCTTTGATTATCTCTCTATTTCACCTCTTCCATGCATGTTCTTCTCTGGAGCCATTCACATTGATTTGTGCCATGCCTGATGCATGGTGTTTGCTTTTTTGAACATCTGCTAAGCATGCAGCACTTTACTGAGCATCTGCATATCACCAGACAAACCTGTGTGACCAGCGCCCTGGAGACGTCCTCATGCCCCACTCCTGTCCCCGCCTCCTCGGGGGTAATTATCATCTTGACTTCTAACATTCAACGTTATACTTTGATTTTTTTCCCACTCAACTATATGTTGGGAGATTTTCCATTATCAGTAGGAAAGAACTGCAGCCCATAGGCACTGGTGGGAACTATGCCAGTGGGTCTTCCCTACTTCCTATGCCCAGGACACTCTGGTTATTAAGCAGCGTGAACATTATCTGCACCATATTCTTTTATGTGGCATTTATAGTTTTCTCTGCGCAGCCTGCCCTTGTCTCCTCCACCTCCCTCCCTCCTTTGACAAGTTCTCCCTGTCTCTCCACTCCTGCCCCCTGACTGCCATCTGGCAGCCTTTTCTCTCCTGGCCTTGTCCAGCAGGACAGCTGCCCTGATCTAACTGCCCATCTCCCCTCCTAGATTATATAGGCTCCTGGGGGGAGGGAACAACATATCATCTGGTGTTGGGGCGCCGATAGTGCTTAGCACAGGGTAGAGTTTCAGTGAGTGTTGCGAGAATAACATAGGTACATGAATGATCCATATGGTAACAGGAGATGCTCTTCTTTCCTTAGAAATCTTTTAGAAACTCTCCTTTTGCTTTACCCTCGGTTCTGGGTAAGTAACTAATACCAAGGTTCCTTCTAGCCAGCCAAACAATTGTTGTTTCTATTTAACCCTGGAACACAAATAAACTGGCTGCAGAACTCCGGCATGGTACAATATGTTCCCAAAGACATATGCTTTCCATAAGGGAGTCTGGAATCTGAAGTACATTGTGAGAGTCTTAGAGGGATATACTGGAAGATGAAAGGTGGGGGGTGGGGTGGGCAACAGCAACAACAAAGAACCGTACCCTGGGGCTGAGAAGTGGAGGCCATGTTGGTTTTGGTACAAAGACACGGGTCCCATTAATGCATGTTGGTGTCTGCTATTTTTGGTTTAGATTTCTGTTCTGATATACCAGGCCTTCATTTTGGAGCATGTCAAGACAGCTGGCTATTGGGAAGTAGAGTTTCTTCCATCGGAATAACACATTCCTTATAATCAGCCATACATGACTGGGTTGTGTTTGCCTGTTAGTTCACGGTATTACGCACTTTGAAGATGAAAGATTGAGGCATAATTACTGCCATTCAAGTGTGTGCAGATTAATAAAGCAAGTCCGAGTCATGGCTCTTTCATTCGTTTTCTAAACCTTTGCTGGCTGTCATTTTAAGACATCAGTTCTGGTCAGAAAAGCCAGTTTCTGCCCACCATTCCATTCCAGCCTTCCAAGCAGAGGATGTAGAGACCCCTCGGCAGGCGTGGGCCCCAGGACAGCTCTTTCTGTCCTGGTTGGCTTCTCTGGCTCAGCTCGCCAAGAGAAGGGTGTTGCTATTTTTGTCTCTCTGAGCTCTCTAGGAGTTCTGGGAATGCTTCTGTTTCTCCTCATCTAAGACTCACTGTCCCTAGAACAGGAAAGGGTCAGATCCCCATTCTCTAGAAATGAGCAGGGCTTTGTAGAAGGGAGGAAGTGCAATAGCCCTTCAGGACAAGGTCCCCTTGGATTAC